GCTTACTCTGCGGGAATGTATTACTTTTGCTCGCTTGTCCCGGGCTCCTGGCGGGCATAGTTGCCCGCAGGCGCCCCGTGGCCGCCACTTCTGCGCTTGCGAGGTCATCTGAACTCCATATGCGCGAGGGCACATTTTGTTTGCGCTACCCTGAGACCTACGACTCGAAGTCAAAAAGGGGAGGAAGACAAGGTCGCCCGAAAGCCAACGCCGCCTCTTCCGTGTCCAACGGAAGCGCGTGAGGCCGCAGTGCAACCGACGTCGCGCGTCTCGGAAACCATCTCTGACAGCTGCAGAGACAGTGCGGTATTCGAAATGAAAAGGGGAGGAAGACAAGGTCGGTCGAAAGGGACCGCCGCCTAACCTACATGTCCAACAGAAGCACGTGCGAGGCCACAGTGCAGCAGACGCCGCGCCTTCCGGAAATCATCCCCTGAAAGCTGCAGAGACGGTGCGGCAAGGGCCGCACATGACGGGTCGCAGTGGCCTTCCGAAATCACAAGGCTTCTGGCCGGCCGTCGCCCGTCACCGCCGTGGGCTGGCCGGTGCCTCCGCACGCGCGCAAAGAGGTCCCACCACGAAGCTCGTGGCGCGTCGACTGGGCCACATGGCTTGCACACATTTTTGCGTCGGCGGTTAGGCAGAGTGACTGCGCTGGCAGATGGAGCAAATGCAGGGCATACGAATGCGAATTACGCCGCAACGCACGTGCGGAAGAGCGGGAACGCCCAGCGCGGGAAGGTGGGAGACAGAGGACGGGCCCGCTCAGAGCGGGGCCAGGCGGCGGCGAGGCAGCGCTGGAACGGCGGGGCGGCGGCCGCGGGGCAGCCGACCACATGGCTTGCACACGTAGGCCCTCTCTCTGAGGCATTGTAGGCTCGAAGCCCATGCCGAGGCCAGACTTGCCGCGTCACCTCCGCGGAAGGGCCTCTCAGAAGCACTCGGCAGGTCTGTCCATCCTGGAAATTGGGTCATATCATCGCAACCAGTCCCGATATTCCCCATCTCTGTAAAGTAAATCACCTATGCGGATCACTCGCTTTGAACTCACACGTGCACTGGACCAAATCCGTACAGCATTATGATAGCACGCGGGCCAACTTCTCTCTAGCCATTTCTTTCTAGCAAACGCTTCCTAGCGTTCATCTAGAACAATGTCCGCGCGTCTTTGCCGACACCACTTGCTGTAATGAGGCCATGCGGGCCGCGCGCGCGCATGTTCAAAACATCCGACAATCACTGCGCACCCGCCAGCTCTGTCAAAGAAGACCGTGCGGTTCACACGAGCGCGTCCCCTTGAGCGCATGACGCAAGCACTGCAAACTGCAAAACCATGGATTCCCTGAGCCGTTCAAAATCCATATGCTCGACCGCATGTAAAAACCATCGGTGTTCAATACGGTGAGGGCAGTGGACAAGAAACCCTTAGATAAGGAACCCAGGGTCTGAAAGCGGTGAAACTCCACTCGTGGATCGGCCATACTTGTCACCGTCGCCCTCATTGATTAAGGAATCCTCCAGGGTCTGATGCCTCCTGGGCGTGCTCCTTAACGAAAGCTCCTACGGCAAATGCGTTCGAATTCATGTAAAACCGTTGGTGTTTCTAACGCGTTGCTTCATAACTTTTGCGCAAGGGCGCGCTTCCCCGTCATCCTCATCAGCACCACAACGACGACGACAAAGATCGAGACCTCCGACGTCGCAATTTGACTGTTCGCAGCGTGGCTCCCCAGAGGTCCGAACCCCATCCCTGGGACTGGCCGAAAACCATATATATATATATATATATGCATTAAACCAGAAACGTGCACAAAAGAGAGAATAAAAAACTAAAAAACAGAACGCCACAAACAAATACAAACTAAACAAAAAACACACAAACAAACAAAAAACAACAACCACAAAAAAAAAAAAAAAAAAAAAAAAACGTCGTGACTCTTTCACGACGCGACGCGGCTGCAACCGAAGGGGGCCGCCCCCTCTTCCAGGAGAAAAGGACCGCCCTGGACACCCCAGAAAGACCCCCCAGGACACCCTGAGGCGCCCAAAGACACCCAGAACCTCATCGATCCTCTTGGCCCTCCTGGGGAAGGTTCATCGCATCATCCAAGAAATCCGCGCGGAGACACGAGAGATTATGTGTATGCAGCTCTCCCATAGTAGCGATTCCCCAGCACGGGCTCTCAGAATGGAAGGAGAGGACAAACAGAGTAGTCCCGCAGGGGGGGCGGCTGCTCCTGCTCCTCCTCCTCCTCCTCCTCCTCCTCCTCCTCCTCCTCCTCCTCTCTCTCCTCCTCCTCCTCCTCCTCCTCCTCCTCCTCCTCCTCCTCCTCCTCCTCCTCCTCCTCCTCCTCCTCCTCCTCCTCCTCCTCCTCCTCTTCCTCCTCAGCCCTTCTGGCACAAGCAATTTGTGCTTGCGGATCCCGACACTTCAGATGGGCTGGGGTTTCGCGAGCCTGGCTACGAAGGTGGCCCAGGACGGCGCGCAGCGTGCGGTTCGGACGGGCCCAGCCATGGCGCCTGGCCGCTCTGGTGGTCTTGCAGCTGCAGATCAGCGCACATGGTTCTGCAGGCTCTGCATTCATCAGCGCACTGGAGAAAAGTTCTTCAACAAACCAGGTCGTCACGTCTGCTACCAGTGCAGAAGGTCAAAAGGTGCGTGCTTCCACAGCTACAAAGAGCACAAGTCTCCCAGTGTCCGTGCTGGTCCTTCGGCCGACAAGACGGCCCCTTGGAACCAGACGAAGCTGCAGCTCCAAGCAGCGCAGGACACTATCAAGAAGCTGGAGGTACAGTTGCGAGATCAGCGTGGCAAGTCAGGGGTCAAGAAGGTCCGATTGGCAGACGAGGCCATGGACGTGGACGCTGGAGACGACGCTGGCACATCTATCACTAATGATGGTCAATTTGATGAAGGAAAGGCTCGAACACGACTGGCCGAACTGGACAGGCAGTTGGACATGACCAGCAAGTGCGAGGGCCTCGCTTGGGTCACGCTCAAAGCCAGCTTCGGGGGGGGGTGCGGGGGGGGGGGGGGTGGGGGGGGGGGGGGGCGGAACGTGAGGAGCTCTAGGCGGCTATCAACAGGCGGAGGCCTGCAACAGCGAGGATGTTCAATCTCACGCGCAAGATTGAGGCTATGGGTGTCCATATTGCAAAGCAGGAGAAAAAACATTGAGGACAAGCGTGGACAGCTACAAGAGCTGCAAAATGAGATTGGTGAGTCTGAGAAGGCGGTGGCCGAAAAGAAAGTCAAGCTCGATGAGATGCGTGCTCAAGCCTTGGAGGTTGCACAAGCCTCAGTCAAGCCTCCTGGAGCTCCCAGCGAGGAAGGTGCTGGGCAAGTGGCAGCTATTGGGCTTGATGCGTCAAAGCTGGGACAAGTACTACGAGATCTTGGGGCAAGTGAGCACGCTGATAAGTTGGTGGAAGGCATCGCCAACCAGCTGCCTGCCACCATTGCCAATGCCCAAGTCACCGTCGTTGGCAGAACGGGTCTTCCTGCTGCTGGGTCAGCTGATGATCTCGCCGCTCGCGCAGCACGGGAGCTCCAAGCCAAGCGCGATGCTGAAGCTGCTCAAGAGGCGGCTGCAAAACGGGCTGCTGAGGAGCAGGATGCCGGGGACAAGGCCTTTGAGGAGGCCAGTGGTGATGCGCTCTCCACGATGTTGGAAGCTGCTGGCGTGGAGGCGCCGACGGAGAAGCCCGACCTCAGGGAGGCGGCGAAGAAGCTCTTGCAGCTCAGGCAGCAGACCAAGTTCGGCAGCTTCCAGGTGCATTAGGAGATGCAGTTCACACGCGAAGATTGTTAAGGTACTGGTATTGATCATGGCGCCGAATAATGGAGGAAGTGGTCTGGATTTGAAGAGCTCAGTTGTCTCTTCTCCCAGGCAGGCAATGTTCTATGATGGCTTCAGTGGAAGTTCGAGGTCGGCTACATTGGGCGGATCTTGTGCTGCAACTGGAGAGTACAGTGATATGAATCAAGCCAGAAAGGAAGCTGGAAGGAACACTATGAACGGACGCATTACCACCGTCAACACGGATGCTTCTGGGCCCTTGCTGCAGTATCTTGGACAAGCGCGTGATGCCGCAATATTGGCTCAAGAGCACAAGGCGGATCACCAGATGCTTCCTATGCTCCAGCAGCAGATCCAGGACATTGGTTACCATGGGGTGTATGCGGCAGCTGAACGCACTGAAGCAGACGGCCTCAGCTCGGGCGTGGCGGTGCTGGTACCGACCTTTGTGATGATCACGGCGCCGCCACTTTTATCGTCGCCAACGTTATGGCCAGCAAGAGCGGTGGCTGCACAGGTCAACTGGGGCTGTAAAGGCGGAGTGGTTCTTGTATCGCTCTATCTCAAAGACTCGGTTGGAAATGATGTCTACAACCAGTCCATATTATATAAATTGGCAACGTATATTGACAGGCGTAACTCTCTTTCGAGACCATGGGTGGTGGGAGGTGATTGGAACATTGAGTCGTATCAGCTTCGTGGGCAGCAATGGCTTGAACAGATTCAGGCAATGTTTTGGGTACCTGCTGGTGCTACGTGCAGATTTCACAAAGAAGCTGAAGGTCGCACTTATGATTGGTTGCTTCTTAGTCAGGCGCTGGCGTCGCGAGTCGGTGCCCCCATGATCTTG